CGTGGTCAGATCATACACGTGCGCGCTCCCCTGGCTCCTGCCTGTTGCTCTGGCCTTGCTGCTTGGGCTTGCTATGATGGTTTGCTGTGTTGGCCTCTGAATAAAGCTCTGGTGTTGGTGCCTCCCGATGGCTTGTCTCTGTGTGGTGATCCGGCTCAGAACCGAGGACCCAGGCGTGGGTAAGACTCTGGTGGTGTACTTCTTTTAAGGGAAGTAGGTACTGGCGCACGACTGGCAGAAGGTCGGCGTGCGGCCCGTATAAAATTAAATTAAAAATGTTTATTGGTTGATTGACTAATTAAAATGAAGAAGTAATTAGATATTTCCTAAGGTCCAACATGTTCCCTAGGACAGAAGCTCAGTCTAGGAACATGACAGATGTAAGGGTCAGAATAATAATTGCTGACATTTATATGAGACAGCCTTAGCATAGCAGATAGAGTGCTAGACTTGGAGCCAAAAAAACCTGGGTTCAAGTCTCACCTCTGAAACCTACTTGCTGTGTGTCCCTGGTCAAGTCTCTTAGCTTCTCAGTGATCTAGGCAACTTTCTAGGACTACACATTGGAGAAAATGCTTCCCACTTCATTGGTAAAGGAAGTTTTATCATCTGGAAGTTCTTTGGGCAGCTAGGTGGCACAGTGGACAGAACGCTGGCCCTGGAGTTCAAATCAGGCCTCAGACACTTTACACTTACTAGCTGCGTGACCCTGGGCGAGTCACCTAACCCCGACTGCTTCACCAAAAAGCAAAATAAATAAATAAACATCTAGAAGTTCTCGATACCATTGAAATCCCAGAGTTAGTCCCTAAACTAACACTTTGAGGTTTACAAAGTACATATTATCTCAACTCACAATATGCCTGTGAGGAAGGTGCCATTTTACAGGTGAGAAAACCGAGGTCAGAGGCTTGTCCAGCCTCACACAGTTGGCAAATATCTGAGGCATTCAAACGCAGGTCTTCTGGGCTCCAAATTCAGTAGTCTATCTACTAATACAAGGCCACATGTGGCTGCAAGACCACAGGTTCCCCACCCCTGTACTAGGCCAAGCTGACTCCTTCCCTTCTTGGAAGAGGTTGGGAGTTCAAAACCCTGAATATACTATAAGATTCCGTTGATGAGTTGGTTGATTTTGCTGAGCTCTGTTTTTAACAGGGCATGGCTCTCTGGATAGAAGACGGGGGAGGGATATAGTTGGAAATGTAAGTGATGTAAAAATGAAAGATATTAATAAAAAATTTTTTAATTAAAAAAGAAGTTTGAGGCCTGAGGTTAGGACAAAGAACCCCAAGGAGACTCTCTCACACACAAAACAGTCCCCAGGAGAGATTAGCATAGACATCAGAATTCCAGTCTTTAAAGACATTAATGCCATTTGTAAAATGACTAGACCAGGGCTGGGGAACCTGAGGCCTGGAGGCCACATGTGACCCTTTGACTGAAGCCAAACTTTGGAGTTGGATTCCATCAAAGGGCCACACTTGAGCACCTAGAGCGCCACACATGGCCTTGAGACCGCAGCTTCCCCACCCCGGGGCTAGACCATACACAGATGGATTTTTAGGAAAGAATTCTGTTACTAAAAGCTGGCCGTCTCAAGAACTATCCTGCCTTCCCTCAACCCTGGGATATCCTCTCTCTCCACTACAACCACCACCACCCTCACCACTTCCATAAGAATCTTCTAGTCATAGAGAGAGCAGACCTCAGCTCACCTCCAGAAGAAACTGAACCCTAGAATGCACAGGGGGCAAAGAGTGATCGACCCAAGGTTTCTCAGTGTTTAGAATGCACCAAGTGCCACTCCTCATCAAGTACTACAAATCTACCTCTATCAAGCCTCAGGCTCACTGAAACCCGAAAATTAAGAGCACTCCTACCACAAGAACCCAGAAGGCATTCACCGTGCAGTGGAAAGAGCCCTGGACCGGGAGATGTCACCCTTTCTGCTCAGGAAGCTCCAATGGCTCCCAAATCTTCTGTTTGGTATTGTCTGAATAGCCTTACCCCTCCTATCTTTCTAATCTTCCCCTACTTTTTTCCCCTCCACACAGTACAATCCAGTAATACTGGCCTACTTCCCATGGGACACTCCATTTCTTCTTCAAGCCTTTGACCTGAAGGCTTCCCATGCCTGGAACGTTTTCCCTCCTCACGTTTCCTCTCTCGACACCTCTGGCTTCTTTCAATACTCAGTTCAAATGCTATCTTCTTTAGGAGATGTTCCCATTCCCATCCCCCAACCATCTTTAATTTCACCAGTTTTTTACTAATTGGTAAAATTTGATCATGTTACTAATAATTAGGTACCTGCTTCTTGGGCCTTATTTTACAATGTGTGTGATTGCTCTTGAGAAAGAGTGTAAGAGCAGGAGGATGGGTTTGTTTGTGGCAGCCTTGGGAGGGAGAGCTGCACCCAGGCCCCGGCCACCGTATTCCCTCCTCCCTTCCCCAGCCTTCTCCCAGGAGAGAGATGGTTTTTTAGGGAGAGATCAGGACTTTTCAGGAGTCACTCTCTTTCTACTTAGTATCTTCTATTTGCCTCTTTGTTTAAATGCTGTTTCCTTCATTACAATGTAAACTTCTAGAGGGTAGGGACTGTTTTTGTGTTTTTACCTTTCTTTGTATTCCCAGGTTTTGGCACCACAATTGATACATAATAAGAGCTTAATAAAATCTTTGTGGATTGATTGATTACTAAAATAAAAACAAAAACATGCTTTCCATTACAGTACATCTAAAATAACACCAACTGCTTTCTGTAATAAAACCTTGAGCAGGCCAGTCAAATACAAGGACAGCAGGGCAGCTAGGTGGCACCATAGTGCACAGAGCTCTGGGCCTGAAGTCAGGAAGACTCATCTTGAGTTCAAATGTAGCCTCAGACACTTACTAGCTGTAAGACCCTGGCCAAGTCACTTAAACTTGTCTGCCTCAGTTTCCTCATCTGTAAAATGAGCTGGAGAAGGAAATGGCAAACCACTCCAGAATTTCTGCTAAGAAAACCCCAAATGGAGTCATGATGAGTTGGACACATCTGAACTATAGGAAAACCATCAGAAGACCCAGGTCCTGGTTCTGCAGCTAACTCTGGACCTCATTCTTGCCACCTCTAAAATGAAGGAGAGGGTTTTAGGGGGACCTCTGATTGCATTTGGTACAGAAGTTCCCAGGAAAAATATACCTCTACCTGTGTTAATTAGCTCTTGTCTTGCAGCTTACGGTCCTAGAGAGCTCCCGGAGACCTTGAAAAGTGAGAAGGCATTGCACAGCCAGTACGCAGCAGAAGCAGTACTGAGCCCAGGTTGTGCTGACTCTGAGGTTCTATCTTTATGCACTAAGCCTTACCGCCTCTCTCAGAGAGAGAAGCAGATAATGGCTGAGGCTCTTTCCAGCTCTACGATAATGTGATACAGGATACGATTGATATGATAGGATATCACATATGAGATGTGATATGTGTCCAGCCTCCTTTCTGTCTTTCCACACCTCCCTCCCACTCCCCTCCAAACCAAGTCAAGTCAACGAGCATTTATTCTGGGCCTACAATGTGCCAGACTTCCCGCAGAAGGTAGGATTTCCTCACCAATTCTCCTGCCACATAATATTAGCTACGGAAATGGGATCCGGAGAAAGTGCCCATGTAAGGACCTCCCCTTCACGCAGCTTCACCATCTCTCCACCACCGCGCTCTCAAAGGGCCAATTCTCCTTCTATTCTAAACCAGGCTTCCAGGCTCTCCTGAAAAGTCTTGATCTTTCCCTGAAAAACCATCTCTCTCCTGGGAGAAGGCTGGGGAAGGGAGGAGGGAATGTGGTGGCCAGGGCCTGGGTGGGGCTCTCCCTCCCATGGCTGCCACAAACAAACCCATCCTCCTGCTCCTGCACTCTCTCACACACACACAATCACACACACTGCAAAACAAGGCACAGAGAAGCAAGCACATAATTATTGGTAAAATGCTTGTAATGGGTTTTGTTGTTTTTTTTTTCTCTCCACCCGGTAGCTTTCAGTAGTTGTAGCAGCTTAGCGAAGCACTTGGCTCCGATTGAATTGCAAATCAGCAGCTCTTGCCCCAGGAAGGAGGAAAGGAAGCAAGGGGAGAGGGGGAGGGGAGAGAAGGGAAGGGAGGAGGAGAATGGGAGACAGGTAAGAAGGGAAGGGAGAAAACAACAGAGAGGGAGGGAAAGAGGGAAGGAAGGAAGGAAGGAAGGGAGGGAGGGAGGGAGGGAGGGAGAAAAGATGGGAAGAAAGAAGAAAGGAAGGGAAGGAGGGAGGGAGGGAGGAAGGGAGGGAGGGAGGAAGGAAAGGAGGGGTGAGGAAGGGAAAAGGAGGGAAGGAGGAAGGGAGGGAGGGAAAAGGAGGGAGGGAGGGAGGGAAGGACGAAAGGAGGGAGAGGAGGGAGAAGGAAAGGGAGGAAACAGGAAAGAAAGAAAAATGGGGAGGGAAGAAAGATAGAAAGGAAGGAGAGGGAAAGGAGGAGGGGAGGGAAGGGAAAGGAGGAGAAGGAGAATAAGATACAGGTAAGGAAAGAAAGAATAGGAAAGGAGGAGGAAAGAATAGGAAGGGAAGGAGAGGAGGGGCGAGGGAGGAAAAAGAAAGGAAGAGGGGGATGGGAGACAGATAAGAAGGGAAGGGAGAAAAGAATAGAAAGGAAGGGAGGGAGGTAATAATAGATGAAAGAGAAAGAAGGTAAGAGTAGGAACAAATGGAGGAAAAGAAGTAAGGGAGGGGAGAAGGGAAGGAAAAGAAAAGAGAAACGGAAGGAACAGAAAGAAGAGAAAGGGTGAAGGGGAAGAGGAAGGGAAAGGGAAAATAAGAGAAGCACTGCTCAGTAGCTAATGAGCATCGACAGGAAATCTCTTTTTCCACACCCTCAGTAGTAGTCCTTACAGGACTGGGAGAGAGCTTCCTCTCTGGAAACAGGAGGGGAAGAGGGAGAGGAAGAAGGCACACAGCCTGTAGTTCTAGGGCTCCAGCACCAGGGGCACACTCACCTTGAAGAGGCGAAGGATGTTGGCCACCATGATGGAGACTGAACTTCCCGAAGCCCCAATAACACCCACCACGCGCTCGGGCTTGGTGATGATGGGTGGCCCTCCATTGACACAGCGCACCTCAGTGCCGTCCTTTTCGATCAGCGCCTGCACGAAAGTCAATGACTGCTCTAGAGCATGGGTATCCCGGGAGCAGGTGTCCAGGATGCGGGCACCCAGTGTGATGTTGGGCAACAGGTCAGGGTCATTATTGATCCGGTCAAGTGCAAACAGCATGGCCTCTAATCGGTGGATGCCCTTCTCCTTCTTAAGCTCCCCACAGGCTTTACCCTCGGAGCCCCTTCCGTGGACTGGAAATAGGCCACCCAGAGTGATGTCCCCGTCGATGCGGATGGAGTTCATGTGGGGATGACCCTGGCCTCTGGGTTTGCCCAGGGAAGGGGCTACCCAGAAAAAGCATGGGCTGAGAAACAGCAAGAGAGGCAGCCGCTGTAGGCACCAGCAGCCTCTGCTTTTCCTAGTCATCGCCAAAAGACAGCAAGGGAAATTAAGTCCTAGAGACCCATGAACAGCAGACAGAGACTCCAAGCCCTAGTGAGGTGCTGTAGCCTGAACTAGCATGGGCTTCTGCTCCAGGTGTCCCCAAGGCTCTCACAGGGATCAGCTTAGGAGTAAAGCTTTGGGGAGTTCCCATGAGATCCAAAGTGCCAGACCATGATGCCTTGTTCTCTTGGACACTAGTAATGCTATCCCAGGGATGAAATAAATTCAGTGACTCTGGAGGATTCCACAATCCATGCCAGGGAGTATCAGGGAGCCAAAGGGATATCAGATAGCAGGTGGTCTATGTTTCACAGGATTCGCAAGTTCTGATGGCTGGTCCTTCAGCTGTTCACTGCAGAGAGAGACATGAAGGCTCTTGGCTTTTCATAATGTGGCATCTAGAAGAAAATAGCTCTGTTCTTCCAACCTTAGAAAGTGGAGCTAGTGAGAGAGAGAGAGAGAGAGAGAGAGAGAGAGAGAGGGGGAGAGAGAGAAAGAGAGAATATCAAACAAAACCCCAAAGAGGACATTAACTATTCTGATCTCTCATCAGGCAGCCAGAGAGATGGAGATGCCAGAGGTTATCGCCAAAGGCTTTGCAAATCTCCAGAATTTGATTTCCTTCCAGCTACCCTACTCAAGAGAGAGTACAAAATAGAAATCTAGCCCCTTTGGAAGACAACTGAAGCTCCCCTTTCCCCTATCTGCAGCCCAGAGCATCCACAAGGGAGATGCCTACGTACCCCAGCGCCAAGTAGGCTGTGGCCAGAAACATCTGTGGGACGCATGTCACCCTAAGAAATACACACACACATACACACACACACACACACACACACACACACACACACACACACACACAGAGCTTCCCTTGCTTCAGGGCCCTTCACAGATGTTTGCTCACAGTAAGTCGGGATGTGTGAGACAGCATTCCCTGGCTGGTAATCTCCTGGAGAAACCTGAGTTCCTCACTCCACTGCCCAGTGGCTACTTTGTCCCCCTCTCCTGTCAATCAACAAATGTTTCCTAAGTACCTACCAGGTGATAATCACTCCCCACTAGGTGCTAGGCACTAGGATGGGTAGATGGGAGTAGAGCGTGTCAGAAGCGACTAGAGGTAGAGACACAAAGATGTGATGACTAGATAAATGCTTCATTCATTCATTCATTCATTCATTCATTCATAGTAGAAGAAACACTGGCTCTGGAGACAGAAGACCTGGATAAAAATTCCAGCTTAGCCACTGACTGTATCTGTGTGGATCACAAGCAAGTTAACATGTCTCTGGGCCTCAGTTTCTTCACCTGTCAAATGAAGGGATTGGCCTAGATCAGGGTGGAGAACATGTGGCCCTCTAGGTCCTCAAGAGTGGCCCTTTGACTGAATCCAAACATGATTGGATTCAGTCAAAGGGCCACACTTGTGCACCTATAAGAGACCTCAGGTTTCCCACCCCTGGCCTAAATGATCTCCAAGGTCTCGTCTACTTCTGTATCTTATAACTGTAAGAACTGGGCCCAATCCCTGGCTCCAAGGAGTTTATAGCCTTGTTGGTGAGGTGAGACATACTCAAATAAGACAATTAAATAGCGGTACAAGGCAGCATTTAATTAAGGGCTAAAATGTGCCACTAAGACCATTAGCACTTCAGGATTTAATAATAACACCTCTCATTTAAAGAGCAGTGTTACAATCTCATTCCATCCTCAACCCTTGGAGGTACAGGTTGAAGATATTATGATCTCCATTTTACAGAGGAGAAAACTGAGGCCCAAGGAGGGAAGTAAATGGCTAGTCTTCTCCTGGCTCTCAGCACAAGGCTCTATCTGCTTTCCTGGGGTCTCCAAATCATACCAGGGCAACTCAGGGATTAAGAAAATGAAATGAGGGGCAGTTAGGTGGCAAAGTGGATAGAGCACCGACCCTGAAGTTGGGAGGGCCTGAGTTCAAATATGGCCTCAGATCAAACACTTGACACTTACTAGCTGTGTGACCCTGGGCAAGTCATTTAACCCCAATTGCCTAAAAAGAAAATGAAATGAGCTGGGGCCATCCAGTCCCCCTGGGCTTTTTTTCCAAGGGATAGGAAAATTTCCTCCCTGCTTCCCTTGCCCATCTCAACCCCAGGGTTGCCCAGCCTCCCCAAGTAGAGAAGACCAAGTGAATCTCATCTCACTTGAGGGAAGAAGCCATGACTGCCTACCCTCTTTGGCCTCTCTCTCCTAGAGTGGGGCTCAGGTTACCACTCCAGCTGCTGCCTATTATTATTATCAATATCGTTAGTATTCTTATTGGCATTAAATATTTATCCAGGAGGGCAGAGAAGAGAAAGCCAGCTCGTCCTTCATTCTAACTCCTCCTCTGAGGCTAGTTTTCCCCTGGAATCCCTCCTGCCTCCCCACCTCCCCATCACCACCACCACTTTCAATCCTCTCTCCCTCATCAGCAGGAGTGAGAGGTGCTGGGAGGCCAATTATGGACCTGGCTGGGGAGGAAGAGCACTTGGATCATCTCTCTATCCAGCAGCGGCCCAAAGGGAATCAGAAAGGAGTACCCTTGTCTCTGTACCTCAGTTCCCCAAGGGAGGAAGTTAGAGTTGGTTTCTAAAGCCTTCAGGGGAAGCCACAGCTTTGGCATTGGACAAAAGGATCTTTCTGAGAGTGACCCACTCCCCATTGTGGGTCCCCTTCCTCCCTTTCTATCTAAACTGCAGCCCCGCACCCTGGCCCCCAACCCAGAACCCTAGGCCCCACCTCTCTCATGTCTTATGTTGAGAGGGAGAAGGGACAAAGAGAAGGATAAGGCTCAGCACCTATGGTACTCTCAAGTCAGAGACTGTAGCTATATCAACACCTACAATTATATGTCTTATTGGTATACTCCACCAACCACATTCAGATCCATTTGCTTCATTTAATCTTCGTTGTATTTCCATAAGTGATTTATTATTCCCAATACACAGATGAGCAAACTATGAAGTCATTTGTCCAAAGTCACCAACTTTGCTACGGCGAGAACTTTTCCCAATACCCTGCTGCCTCCTACAATCAATAAGCATTTATTAGTGAACTACTCTGGGCCAGGCACTGAGCATTAAAATACAGAATCAACATAGTCCTTGCCCTCAAGAAATTTACATTCTTTTAGGGAGATATAACATGTTAACAGACAAATAAATAAAGGTACGTGCAGAAAAACACAAAATGATAAATACGGGAGATCAGGAAAGGCCTACTGAAGGAAAGGGAACTAGGGTGCCAAGAGGCACTAGTGAGGAGGGACAGCATTCCAAGAATCAGGTATAGTCTCTGCAATGGGTGGAGATAGAATGTTCAGTAACAAGCAAATAGGTAATTTAGCTACAATATAGAATATGTTTAAGAGTGGGGGAAGGGGGGAATAATGGATAATCAGCCTGAAAAGACAGGCTAAAGCCAGAGTATGAAAGGTTTTAAATGACAAACAAGAAACTTTGCATTTTATCCTAGAGGTAATAAGGAGCCACTGAAGCTTCTTGAGAATGGGAGTTAACACAGTCATACCTATGCTTTAGGAGTATCAAATTGGCAGAGATAGAACAGCAGAGAGCATGTGTGGGCAAGACAATTCTCTTTGTACAGACTCCAACACATCTGAGCACAAGCTAAAAGCTTTCTCAAAGGGAAAGGAATAATTATTCTACTCAATAATCATAGCATTAATATGACACTAAGATTTGCAAAGCACTTTATATTATGCTATCTCATTTGATCCTCACAACAATTCTGATCAGGAGATACTATTATTATCCCCATTTTACAAATGAGGAAAGAGGTTAAGTAAGTGATTTGCCCAGGATCACACAGCTGCTAAACTCTATGTCCAACACACTCCATCTACTCTGACACATAGCCACCCAATGATAAAGATGATGATACACAGTAGCTCCTGGACTGTGGAGCTTCGAGGCCTGACGCATTTGGTACCAGAGGGTGACAGTGGTTGGAGATACTGCCTCACCCCCTCATTTACTTCCATCTATCCAAGGAGTCAGGCCTTCTGGGGTTAGGAAGGCTAGAGCTCTGTTGGACCAGTTGTTTAGGTGAAAAGACTTCAGAGATAGCACAAAACCTTTGGGCCCCTTAAAGTACCTCTTCCTCCACCATCTTGGTAAAGCGAAGAGAGCACTGGTTTGGAGTCAGAAGGTGGGCTCAAATCCTAGCTCAAGCTCTCCCATTGACCATCCATTTGACCATCAAATAGGACATTTAACTAACTTCTAGGACCTCAGTTTGCTTGTGTGTAAAATGGGAATCCCCTACTTGGATGCTTCATCATGGCATGAAGGTTATTCTGGGTTCTTTACTGAAGCACAAGTTCAGGTGAATTCTACTGAGCTTTCCTGGAAGAGGCCCAGAGAAAGACCCTCTGTTTGAAGACCTGCCTAGCTACCAAGTTGTTGAGAGGCAGCAGAGCAAAGCAGAGAGAGGGCTGGATTTGGTATAAGAGAATCTGGGTCTGAATCCTGACTCTTCCATGTACTATGTGACCGTGGGCAAATCACTTGACCTCCTGGGGCCTCAGTTTTCTTATAGGTAAAATGAGGAAACTGAACTCTGTGACCTCTAACATCCCTTCCAGGCCTCATCTATGATTCTAATAAGGTTCAAGGGAGAAAATATACACAAAGCACTTTACAAATTTTAAGACACTTGTACAAATGTCAGCTCTTATTATGAGGGTGATAAGGAATACAAACAGGAATGAAACAGATCCTGCCTTCAAGGAGTTTCTAGTCGTTATGGGCACTAGGATATGTGCCCCCAAAACAACTGAGAAGAGCCTAGCTCAGCACCCACTTGAGCTCCTCCACCGAGGTCCAACCCCTTGCTCCTCCCTGCCGGTCTCACTGGTTCAATCATCTTTTGTTTCTCATTGGAGCAGGGAAGGGAGGAAAGGGAGGTCACTTATTGACTGACGCCATTAGAGCGAGTAGGCTCTGGTTTTGTTCAGTTTTATTCCTATAAAGTTTACTGCTCATCCCATCACACTTTTTTTGATGTTTTGCCTTTGTAAATAGATTTGTAAAACCAATTAACGACCTCAGGGCAACATATATGCCTCAGACATTTACTCACTGTGTGATCTTGGGCAAGTCAATTAATCTGTCTGATCCTCAGTTTTCTCATGCAGTTGTATGAAGCGGCCTTTAAAGATCCCTCCCAGCTCTAAATCTATGAAACCTAGAGTCAGAAGAAATGGGTTGGTCTGGTCTACCGCTTACTAGCTGTATGACTACTTCAGGCAAATTGCTTCACCCCTTTGGGAGGATTCGG